CCCAGCTCTGTTAGGGTGTCCCCAGGGCTGGTTTGGGTGTCCCCAGGGCTGGTTTGGGTGTCCCCAGCGCTGTTAGGGTGTCCCCAGCTCTGTTAGGGTGTCCCCAGCTCTGTTAGGGTGTCCCCAGCTCTGTTAGGGTGTCCCCAGGGCTGGTTTGGGTGTCCCCAGCTCTGTTAGGGTGTTCCCAGGGCTGTTTTGGGTGTCCCCAGCTCTGTTAGGGTGTCCCCAGCTCTGTTAGGGTGTCCCCAGGGCTGGTTTGGGTGTCCCCCTGTGTCCCCCACTGAGCAGCTCTCTCGGCAGGCAGCGATGCCCCTGGAGCCCCTGGTCTGTGCCCGCACGGCCACGCGGTGGGTGCTGTCCCCTCCTCGCTGTCCCCTGCTGTCCCTCACTGTCCCTCGGCTATCCCCCGTTGTCCCCCACTCTCCCCAGCTGTCCCCCCACTGTCCCCCCGCAGTGTCCCCTGCTGTCCCCGCTGTCCCCCGGCCCTGCCAGGGGATGTCCCTGGGGACAATCCCCTGGGGACAGGGGATGCTGATGTCCCCGCAGGGTGAGCTCGGTGCTGAACCGGGACGTGAAGCACTTCGGGAAGCAGCACCTGTTCGATGGCAGCGAGGAGACCTGCTGGAACTCGGACCAGGTGTGGGGACAGCCCGGGGTGGGGGGGACACGGGAGCTGTCACCCCCTCCGTGTCCCCCCCGTGACACTCCTGTCCCCACCCAGGGCACGTCCCAGTGGGTCACCCTGGATTTCCCCGGCCCCGTCAGGGTCTCCCAGCTCCACATCCAGTTCCAGGGGGGATTTTCCAGCCGGCTGTGCACGCTGGAAGGTGAGGGATGCTGGGGTGGCACGGGGGTCCTGCCTCAGTTTACCCACACCTGGATCCTGCCAGTTGTGAGAGGGAGGCTCAGAGGGATTTATCAGCAATTCCCAAATGCCAGGAGGGGTTCTGGAACACCTGGAGCAGCTCTGTGGGCGAACAAAGAGGAGTTGGGAACCTCTGGGTGACCCTGGGAGGCAGGGAATATTTTGGGAGAGTACCTGGAGGGGTTCAGGAGCACCAGGAGCAGCTCTGTGGGTGAATAAAGAGGAGCTGGGAGCCAGGGAATATTTTGGGAGAGCACCTGGAAGGGTTCAGGAGCACCAGGAGCAGCTCTGTGGGTGAATAAAGAGGAGCTGGGAGCCTCTGGGTGCTTTTAGGAACCAGGGAAGATTTTGGGACAGAACCTGGAGGGGTTCGGAACACCTGGAGCAGCTCTGTGGGTAAATAAAGAGGAGTTGGGAGCTTCTAGAAGCCAGAGAAAATTTTGGGAGAGCACCTGGAAGGGCTCAGGAGCACCAGGAGCAGCTCTGTGGGTGAATAAAGAGGAGCTGGGAGCCAGGGAAGATTTTGGGAGCGCACCTGGAGCAGCTCCGTGGGTGAATAAAGAGGAGCTGGATTTTGGGAGCGCACCTGGGAGTACCTGAGGCTCCCCTCTCGCCCTCCCCAGGCTGCAGAAGCGGTGAGGAGCTGGTGAAAATATCGGAGCTGTACCCCCAGGACAGCCACGCCATGCAAATATCCTTTCCCAGGATGACGACTGCGCTGGAGGGGGGAAGGAATTGGGGGATTTTTTGGGAATTCTGCTGCTGGGCAGAGCAGGGGGCGTGACCCCCACCTGTGCCCCCCTCTCAGGGCGGGTCCCCCATCCCAATCCCAGAGTTATTCCTTCACTGGGAGCCGCAGGAATTCCAGGTGGAGGAGACGGTGCTGGATAAGCTGAAGATCACCTTTGGGAGCAGCACGGATTTCTTCGGGAGGGTGGTGGTTTATCACCTGGGGGTGCTGGGGGAGAGGCTCTAGGGCTGTCCCCACCTTGGTGTCCCCTGGGGTGACACCGGCGAGGGACACGGGTGCCTGAGGGGACCATTAAAATAAATTAAATTAAATTAAATTATATATAAATTATTTATATAAATAATATATATTATATTATATTATATTATATTATATTATATTATATTATATTATATTATATTATATTATATATATTATATTATATTATATTATATTATATTATATATTACATTACATTATATTATATTATATTATATTATATTATATATTCTATTATATATAATAATACATATCATATATAATATAATATAATATAATATAATATAATATAATATAATATAATATAATATAATATATATAATTAATATCTATAATATATATTATATATATTATATACTATAATAATATATAATATATAATATTATTATATTACATTATATATATATTAATATATGTATTTATATATAAATAATATATATAAAATATATTCCTGCTTTTTCCTGGCTGCTCCAGGGAAATGAGCCCTCGGGGGTTTGGCTTTAGGACAGGGAAACGTCCCCTCCCTGTGCTGTCGCTTTGGGGCCACCCCTGACAAATTTAATTTTAAAATTTTTAATTTTTTAAATTTAAATCTAACGTTTTCCCGTCTGCCAGAATCCCGCAGGATTTTTCCTCCTGGCTGTGGCAGCGTTATGGGAGCTTCCCTTTCCAGGACAGGAATTCCAGGAGATGCTGAGGGGAAGACTTTGACTCAGTTTCCCCCAAAAACTGGGATTGGGAATGGATGCAGCAGAAAAGGCTCCACGGAGCCGCTTCCAAATTTAATTCCACCGAATTTAATTCCAATTAAGAGTTTGCTTCCAATGGAAAACACGGAGCAGGCAGGGCTGGAACGAGTGTCCCTGGATTTCAGGCGTGGCAGCCGTGCACGGAGGGGCAGAAATTCCCGGATTTCTCCTGGTCGGGATGAGGCCGTGGTGATCCCGGGAATCACTTCTTCTTCCTCTTGTTCTGGAACAGCTTCAGGATGTGGTTCTCCATCACCTGCTGCACTGAGGGTGGCAGAGGGGTGGAATTCAGGGAAGCTGCTCCGGGAAGGAGCCGGTCACCGTTTCCCTCTTGTTTTCTGAGGGGAAAATCCATTTTCTGAGGGGAAAATCCTTGTTTTCTGAGGGGAAAATCCTTGTTTTCTGAGGGGAAATCCCTGTTTTCTGAGGGAAAACCCTTATTTTCTCAGGGGAAAGCCCACATTTTCTGAGGGAAACCCATATTTTCTGAGGCAGAACCCCTGCTTTGCGAGGGAAAATCCCTGATTTACAAGGAAAATCCCTGTTTTCTGAGGGAAATCCCTCTTTTCCAAGGAAAAACCCTGTTTTCTGAGGGAAAACCCTTATTTTCTCAGGGGAAAACCCACATTTTCTGAGGGAAACCCATATTTTCTGAGGCAGAACCCCTGCTTTGCGAGGAAAATCCCTGTTTTACAAGGAAAACCCCTGTTTTCTGAGGGAAATCCCTCTTTTCCAAGGAAAACCCCTGTTTTCTGAGGGAAAACCCTTATTTTCTCAGGGGAAACCCCACATTTTCTGAGGCAGAACCATGCTTTGCGAGGGAAAATCCCTGTTTTCTGAGGAAAAATCCCTGTTTTCTGAGGGGAAAAATCCCCGTTTTCTGAGGGAAACCCACACTTTCTGAGGCAAATATCCCTGTTTTCCGAGGAAAATCCCTGCTTTCCGAGGAAAACCCCTGTTTTCCTCAGGGGAACACTCACCTTTCTTGTGTCCCAGAGCCACGGCCAGGTCCATGGGGGTGTATCCCGAATCCGCCTCCTCCGTCAGGTCAGCGCCGCAGGCTGCGGGTCGGGAACGAGGGCTTGGGAAAAAGGGACCCCAAAATCCGCCCCTCGCCCCCCGGGATCTGTTCCCGAGGCTGGGAAGCAGCGATTCCAGCGGCGGGGATCACCGGGATTTGTGTCTTACCCAGCAGGGCCTCCACGCACTTGACGTGGTTCCCGCGCACGGCGTAGAGCAGGGGCGTGCCCCCGTTCTGTGGGGAGGGAAAAGTCATTGCCGAGCTCCCGCAGATCCCGGGGCATTCCCTCAGGAGATCCCTGATCCTCCTTTCGTCCTCTCCCAGCTCCAGACTGGGATCTGATGGGATTCCACAGCCGGCCTTGCCCAGTTTGAGGCTGGGACTCACTGGGATCCCATTCCAGCCTGTCCCAGCCCCAAACTGGGATCCCATTCCAAACTGGGATCCCATTCCAGCCTGTCCCAGCTCCAAACTGGGATCCCATTCCAGCCTGTCCCAGCTCCAAACTGGGACTCACTGGGATCCCATTCCAGCCTGTCCCAGCTCCAAACTGGGATCCACTGGGATCCCATTCCAGCCTGTCCCAGCTCCAAACTGGGATTTACTGGGATCCCATTCCAGCCTCTCCCAGCTCCAAACTGGGATCCCATTCCAAACTGGGATCCCATTCCAAACTGGGATCCCATTCCAGCCTCTCCCAATTCCAGTCTGGTGTCCCCTGGCTGTGCTGGTGGCACTGAGGAGGTTTATCCTGGTGTCCCCTCGGTCCTCATTGTCCCTAAAGTCCCCTGTGTCCTCTGCTGTCCCCAGTGTCCCCAGTGTCCCTGGTGTCCCCCACTGTCCCCCTGCTGTCTCTGCTGTCCCCTCACTGTACCCCTGTCCCCACTGTCCCCCCACTGTCCCCTCACTGTCCCCACTGTCCCTTCGCTGTCCCCGCTGTCCCTTCGCTGTCCCCTCTGTCCCCCTGTCCCCACTGTCCCCTCGCTGTCCCCTCTGTCCCTGCTGTCCCCTCGCTGTCCCCTCTGTCCCCGCTGTCCCCTGGCCGCGCAGGTGTCCTCACCCAGTCGTAGGTGTTGATGTCCACGTCCCTGTCCAGCAGCATGGTGACGATGTCGGTGTAGCCGCCCATGCTGGCCAGGGCCAGCGCGCTCTCCCTCTCCTTGGCCAGCGCGTGAGGGTCAGCGCCCTGGGGACAGCCACGGCCGGGGGACACTGCCAGGTGACCCTGACACAGCCACCCCTGCCCGCACCAGAATCCTCACTGGGATTTATTTCAATTTTCCAGTTCCCTCCCCTGACAAAAATCCTTACTGGGAATATTTCAATTATTTTTGAATTTGAATTTTCCAGTTCCTTCCCCTGACCAAAACCCTTATTGGGAATATTTGAATATTCCAGTTCCTTCCCCTGACCAGAATCCTCACTGGGAATATTTTAAATATTTTCCAGTTCCTTCCCCTGACCAGAATCCTTAACTGGGAATATTTCAATTATTTTTTGAATTTTCCAGTTCCCTCCCCTGACCAGAATCCTTAACTGGGAATATCTGAATTATCCCCTGACCAAAATCCTTAACTGGGAATATTTCAATTATTTTTTGAATTTTCCAGTTCCCTCCCCTGACTAAAACCCTTATTGGGAATATTTGAATATTCCAGTTCCTTCCCCTGACCAGAATCCTCACTGGGAATATTTGAATATTCCAGTTCCTTCCCCTGACCAGAATCCTCACTGGGAATATTTCATTAATTATTTTCCAGTTCCTTCCCCTGACCAGAATCCTTAACTGGGAATATCTGAATTATCCCCTGACCAAAATCCTTAACTGGGAATATTTCAATTATTTTTGAATTTGAATTTTCCAGTTCCTTCCCCTGACTAAAACCCTTATTGGGAATATTTGAATTTTCCTCTGTCCTGATGGATCCTCAGCCCTTTTTTCCGCTGGATTTTGGAAGCCCCTGGAGCTGGGAAGTGTCCCAGGGCTCACCCATTCCAGGAGGTGCCGGACGGTCTCGATCTCCCCGAAAGCTGCAGCCCAGATCAGGGGGGTGAAGCCTCTCTCGTCGGGTTTGTTCACCAAATTCTCACCTGGGCAGGTGAAAACAACCAGGGTGAACCCCCTGTGCTCCCAGTTAAACCAGTAAAGGCTGGAAAAACACCTCAAGCAGCTGGTGGATGGTTGGAATTGAGGATTTTTGGGGATTTTTTTCCCCATCTCCAAAACTGGAAAAATCTTCCCCCCCAAAAAAAAATAAAACCAAAAACCCACCCCCAGTTCTGGTGGTTTTAATTCTGAGTGCAAACCAAGCCGAGGGTTGGAGGGGACCTGGCAGGTCCTGGCAGGGACAAAGGGACACCAACCTTTCCTCACTGGATGAGCTCCCCTTGGGCAGCCAGCTGGTGGATGGACAGCGCTGCAAGAGACAAATCCATCAGGAAAAGCAATTCCCTGCGAATCTGGGCCAGAGGGAGCTGCTCCAGGGTGGCCCCAGCTGCTCTCCTGCTGTCCCCAAAATTCCTGGGTGGCCCCAAATCCCTCTCCTGATCTCCCCAAATTCCCGAGGTGTCTCCAACCCCTCTCCTGCTGTCCCCAAAATCCCTGGGTGGCCCCAATCCCTCTCCTGATGTCCCCAAATCCTGAGGTGGCCCCAACCCTCTCCTGATCTCCCCAAATTCCCGACGTGTCTCCAGCTCCTCTCCTGCTGTCCCCAAATTCCTGGGGTGGCCCCAATCCTTTCTCTGATGTCCCCAAAATTCTGGGGTGGCCCCAAATCCCTCTCCTGATGTCCCCAAATTCCCAGGGTGGCCCCAATCCTTTCTCTGATGTTCCCAAATTCCAGGGATGGCCCCAATCCCTCTCCTGCTCTCCTCAAATTCCCGGGGTGTTTCCATCCCTCTCCTGATCTCCCCAAAATCCCAAGGTGATGAAAATCCCTCTCCTGATGTCCCCAAATTCCTGGGGTGTCTCAAATCCTTTCTCTGATGTCCCCAAATTCCGGGGATGGCCCCAACCCCTCTCCTGATGTCCCCAAATTCCTGGGGTGGCCCCAATCCTTTCTCTGATCTCCCCAAATTCCCAGGGTGTCCCCAACCCCTCTCCTGATCTCCCCAAATTCCTGGGGTGTCTCAAATCCTTTCTCTGCTGTCCCCAAATTCCCGAGGTGGCCCCAATCCCTCTCCTGATGTCCCCAAAATCCCAAGGTGGCCCAAACCCTTTTCCTACTGTCCCCAAATTCCTGGGGTGTCCCCAACCCCTCTCCTGATGTCCCCAAATTCCTGGGGTGGCCCCAACCCCTCTCCTGATGTCCCCAAATTCCCAGGGTGGCACCAATCCTTTCTCTGATCTCCCCAAATTCCCGAGGTGTCCCCAACCCCTCTCCTGCTCTCCCCAAATTCCCGAGGTGTCCCCAACCCCTCTCCTGATGTCCCCAAATTCCTGGGGTGGCCCCAATCCTTTCTCTGATCTCCCCAAATTCCCAGGGTGTCCCCAACCCCTCTCCTGATGTCCCCAAATTCCCAGGGTGTCCCCAACCCCTCTCCTGCTCTCCCCAAATTCCCGAGGTGTCCCCAACCCCTCTCCTGATGTCCCCAAATTCCCGAGGTGGCCCCAACCCCTCTCCTGCTGTCCCCAAATTCCCGGGGTATTTCCATCCCTCTCCTGATCGCCCCAAAATCCTGGGGTGTCTCCAACCCCTCTCGTGATGTCCCCAAATTCCCAGGGTGTCCCCAACCCCTCTCCTGCTCTCCCCAAATTCCCAGGGTGTCCCCAACCCCTCTCCTGCTGTCCCCAACCCCGAGGTGGCCCCGGGCACTCACTGTCCAGCGTGGCTGGCAGCGCTGACACCTCGTTGCCTCGCTGTCTGTTGGTCAAGGTGTTGGAATGTTTCAGGGGGAAACCTGCCAGGGACAGCACAATCCAGAGGGTTTTCATTTAATTTCTATTAATTTTTATTAATTCTCTATTAATTTGGGTTTATTCTCTGTTGATTTGTTTGTTCTCCATTTATTTTGGGTTTATTGGCTTTGTTTTTTATTTGTTTTGGGTCTGTTCTCTGTCAAGTTTGGGTTTGTTCTCTCTGTATGTTTTGCTGTTTTCTGTTAAATTTTCTGTTTGTTTTCTATTAATTTGGGGTTTCTTCTTGATTTATTTATTTATTCTATTATTTATTTATATTATATTTATATATTTATTATTTTATATATTATTATTATTTATATATTATATTTATTTATATTATTATTTATTCTGTTTATTTATTTATTTATTTGGATTTATTCTCTTAATTTTGGGTTTATTCACTATTAGTTTAGGGTTCATTCCCTATTTATTCTCTACTTATTTGTTTATTCTTTACTAATTCTTGACTAATTTCAGGCTTGTTTTCAATTTATTTATTCTCTATTAATTTCAGGTTTATTTTCTAATAATTCTGGGTATATTCTTCATTAATTTCAGGTTTTATTCTCTACTTATTCCCTATTAATTTTGGATTTATTCTCCATTAATGTTGGGTTTATTCTCTACTAATTTCGGGGTTTATTTTATATTCATTTAGTCTCTATTAGTTTCAGGTTTCTTCTCTATTTACTTATTTATTCTCTATTCATACTGGGTTTATTTTCTTAATTTTGAGTTTATTCTCAATTTATTTATTGATCCTCTATTATTTTTGGGTTTATTCTCAATTTATTTATTGATCCTCTATTATTTTTGGGTTTATTCTCTAATATATTCTCTAATAATTTCAGATTTATTCTCCTTCAATTTCAGGCTTTATTCTCTATTCCATAATTTCATGTTCATTCTCTTATTTATTCTTTAATTTATTCTCTACTAATTTAAGATTTATTCTCTATTAATTTCAGGATTATTCTCTATTAATTTCTAGTTCATTTTCTATTTATTTATTCTCTATTCATTTATTCTCTATTAATTTATTTATTAGTTTATCCTCTATTAATTTGCCCTTACTCTCTACTAATTTCAACTCAACTCTTTATTTATTTCCTTATTCCCTATTAATTTAAGTTTATTTTCCATTTATTTATGATCCACCCTCCCATTTCCCATCCTTGCCGAGCTCCACTTGGGAATCCCAAAGCGTTTCCAGCCCCAGATCCGCGTTTTTTTTGGGGAAAAATCCAAGGAAAATGCGATTCCCATCTCCAATTCCAGCGTGGAGCTGCAGCGACCTCTCAGGGCTGGCAGGAGGAGCCGGCACCAAACTTTGGGATTGGGATTTTCCACCTTTCAGCCTCTTTCCCCGGATTTTTTGGGATCAGAGATGCCTGGAATTTTTCCCCCCTCCGTGCCACACTCACCATCCAGGGCCGGGGGCTCGCTGCTGCTGCTCTGGGAATCCATGGAAGCAGCCGAGGAATTCCGCAGGGTCTCGGCTCCACCTGCAATCCACGGGATTCTCTGGGATCCTTTGGGATCCTTTGGGATTTCTTTGGGATCCTTTGGGATTTCTTTGGGATCCTTTGGGATCCTTTGGGATTCTCTGGGATTCTCTGGGATTCTTTTGGATCCTTTGGAATTCTCTGGGATCCTTTAGGATTCTTTGGGATTCTCTGGGATCCTTTGGAATCCTTTGGGATCCTTTGGGATTCTTTGGGATTCTCTGGGATTCTCTGGGATCCTTTGGGATCCTCTGGGATCCTTTGGGATTCTCTCAGATTCTTTGGGATTCTTTGAGATTCTTTGGAATTCTCTGGGATCCTTTGGAATTCTCTGGGATTCTTTAGGATTCTTTGGGATCCTTTGGGATCCTCTGGGATTCCTCTGTGGTGGAATCCACCATGGGATTCTTTGGGATTCTCTGGGATCCTTTGGGATCCTTTGGGGTCCTTTGGGATTCTCTGGGATCCTTTGGGATTCTCTGGGATCCTTTGGGATTTTTTGGGATTCTCTGGGATCCTTTGGGATCCCTTGGGATTCTCTGGGATCCTTTGGGATTTTTCGGGATTTCTTGGGGATTCTCTGGGATTTTTTGGGGGGGGATTCTTTGGGATCCTTTGGGATTCTCTCAGATTCTTTTGGATTCTTTGGGATTCTCTGGGATTCTTTGAGATTCTTTGGGATTCTCTGGGATTCTTTGGGATTCTTTTGGATTCTTTGGGATTCTTTGGGATTCTTTTGGATTCTTTGGGATTCTCTGGGATTCTCTGAGATTCTTTGGGATTCTCTGGGATTTCTCTGGGATCCTTCGGGATCCTTTGGGATTCCTTTGGGATTCTCTGGATGGAATCCACCATGGGAACTTTGGGATCACCCATGGTGGTGAGCTCAGTAGATCCCAAGCAGATCCCAGTTTCCAGGAGGATCCCGGATCCAGTTTGTCCCCCAGCATTCCCAACTCACCGTCGCCGCATTCCGGGAGCGCCACATCCCGATCCTGCTGGGGACACGCCGAGGGGACCCCGCTGTCCCCCATGGCCACCAGCTCCTCCGCTGCCTTTTCACCCAATTCCCCCTTTTTTCACCCAATTCCAGGGGGGCTCCCCGACACCGCCGGCTGCTCCTTCACCTTCCCGGCACACGGATGGGTTGGGAACAGGGGGGAAAACAGGGATGTGTGGACCCTGAGCGCTTGTGAGCCCCAAACTGCAGCGGGGTTTGGGGTCCCCTCTGCCCGCCCCATTCCTAAGGACCCCCCTTATTCTCCTCATCCTATTCCTGGGGTCCCCCTTATTCTCCACATCCCTGTTCCTGGGATCCCCTTTTCCCTATTCCTGGGGTCCCCCTTATTCTCCTCATCCCTGTTCCTGGGATCCCCTTTTCCCTGTTCCTGGGATCCCCCTTTTCTCTCCACATGCCTGTTCCTGGGATCCCCTTTTCCCTGTTCCTGGGATCTCCCTTATTCTCCTCATCCTATTCCTGGGATCCCCCATTTCCCTCCTCATCCTGTTCCTGGGATCCCCTTTTCGCTATTCCTGGGATCCCCCTTTTCTCTCCACATCCCTGTTCCTGGGATCCCCCTTATTCTCCTCATCCTGTTTCTGGGATCCCCCTTATTCTTCTCATACTATTCCTGGGATCCCCCATTTCCCTCCTCATCCTGTTCCTGGGATCCCCTTTTCGCTATTCCTGGGATCCCCCCTTTCTCTCCACATCCCTGTTCCTGGGGTCTCTCTCACCCTTCCTATCCCTATTTTTGGGGCTCTCCTTCTCTCCCTATCCCTGTTCCTGGGGTCCCCCTTTCCCTTCCAATCCCAATTCCTGGGATCCCTCTCTGTTCCCATCCCAATTCCTGGGATTCCTCTCTGTTCCCATCCCAATTCCTGGGATCCCTCTCTGTTCCCATCCCAATTCCCGGCACTTCCGACACTCCCAACCGCCGCTCCCCGAGCTCGGCCCCGGGACCCCCGGGACCCTCCCGTTCCTTCTCCCCAGCCCCTCACCGCCGTCTCCGCTCCCCGCTCCCGTTCCGTTCCCTCTCCCATTCCCGTTCCCTCTCCCATTCCCGTTCCCGTTCCCTCTCCCGTTCCCGTTCCCTCTCCCATTCCCGTTCCCGTTCCCGGTCTCACCGCGGCCTCCCCGGCGCTCTCCCCCCTCACTTCCCGTTGCTGCGGCGGGCCCGGCCCGGGGGGGTTCGGGGATCGCGGCCTTAAAGTGACACAAGGGACGGGCCCGAGGTGGCCGTGGGGCAGCGGGACCGCCTGGCCTCGGGGACACCCGGGGGACACCTCGGGGACACCTCGGGGACACCTCGGGAAGAACCAAGCGGAGCAAAGGCCGCGACACCCCCAGACCCCTCTGAGGGCAGCGGGGCCGCGGCGGCCCGAGCCGGGCACGGCTACACCGGGAGCCACCGAGCGAACCGGGATCCACCGAGCGTCCCCGGGGGTGACAATTGTGGGGACCCCCTTGTCCCAGCGCTGAAGCGGAACGTTGTCACCGCGGCCGCGTTCCCAGCCGGGGCTGTTTTCTCCGCAGGGTCCCCGGGGGGGCGGTTCCGGGGGGGCACCGGCGGAAGCGGAAGTGGCGGCGGGCGGGATGGAGGAGGCGGAGATGCAGCTGAAGGTGAAGAAAGGTGGGAATGGGAAAATCGGGAATGGGAAAATCGGGAATGGGGAAAACGGGATCGGGAAGGGCCCGGTGGGGTGTGGGAGAGGCTCCGCTGCCGTGATTTGGCCGGTGGCGGCGGGACGCTGCGTGTGGGCGTGTTGGGATTGGATTCCCGGCCTTTATCCCTCAGTGGTGGAGTCGGGAATATCCCGGGATATCCCTTGGGAAGTTTTCTTATGGAGTTGTGGGGGAATATTTCTGAGGATTTGTGTGGGTTGCCCTGGATTTTCATGGAGATATTTCTGTGGAGATGTTTCTGTTTCATTCCATGGATTTCCATGATATCTATGGTGAGATTTCCATGGATTTCTGTGGATTTCCATGGAGATATTTCTGTGGATTTCCATGGATGGATTTCCATTATATCTACGGATTTCCATGGAGAGATTTCCCTGAATTTCCATGGATTTCTGTAGAATTCCATGGAGATATTTCTGTGGATTTCCATGGATGGATTTCCGTGGATTTCTGTGGATTTCTACTGAGATATTTCCATGGATTTCCATGATATCTATGGATGGATTACTGTAGATTTCCATGGATGGATTTCCGTGATATTTATGGTGAGATTTCCATGGATTTCTGTGGATTTCCATGGGGATGTTTCCATGGATGGATTTCCCTGATATTTATGGTGAGATTTCCATGGATTTCTGTGGATTTCCCTGTCGATATTTCCATGGATTTCTGTGGATTTCCCTGTCAATATTTCCATGGATTTCTGTGGATTTCCCTGTCGATATTTCCATGGATTTCTGTGGATTTCCATGGGGATGTTTCTATGGATTTCCCTGATATTTATGGTGAGATTTCCATGGATTTCTGTGGATTTCCATGGTGAGATTTCCATGGATTTCTGTGGATTTCCATGGGGGCATTTCCATGGATTTCTGTGGATTTCCCTGTCGATATTTCCATGGATATCTGTGGATTTCCCTGTCGATATTTCCATGGATTTCCCTGATATTTATGGTGAGATTTCCATGGATTTCTCTGGATTTCCCTGGGGATATTTCCATGGATTTCCCTGATATTTATGGTGAGATTTCCATGGATTTCTGTGGATTTCCCTGTCGATATTTCCATGGATTTCTGTGGATTTCCCTGGAGATATTTCCATGGATTTCCCTGATATTTATGGTGAGATTTCCATGGATTTCTGTGGATTTCCATGGTGAGATTTCCATGGATTTCTGTGGATTTCCGTGGTGAGATTTCCGTGGATTTCTGTGGATTTCCATGTGATATTTCCATGGATTTCCCTGATATTTATGGTGAGATTTCCATGGATTTCTGTGGATTTCCCTGTCAATATTTCCATGGATTTCCCTGATATTTATGGTGAGATTTCCATGGATTTCTGTGGATTTCCCTGTCGATATTTCCATGGATTTCTGTGGATTTCCATGGAGATATTTCCGTGGATTTCTGTGGATTTCCCTGTCAATATTTCCATGGATTTCCCTGATATTTATGATGAGATTTCCATGGATTTTTCCCGTTTTTTCCCTGGCAGTGACGGACAAGTTCACGGAGAGCCTGTACGTGCTGGCCAACGAGCCGTCAGTGGCGCTGTTCCGGCTGCAGGAGCACGTGCGCCGCTCCCTGCCCGAGCTGGCCCAGCACAAGGTGGGTCCCCAAGATCCCAGGGATCATCCAGCCCCGGATCCTTGGGAATTCTGCCTCCCAGACAGGAATTCCATCCCGAAAATCCCGGATCAGTCGTGGTTTGGAGCCGGTCTTTGCGGCTTGGAATTCCGTGTCTTGTCCTAAATCCATTTCCAGCTTCGTTTTTAGGGACTGGGAGCAGCTCCAAGGTTTCCCCTGGATCCTTTTCCCACTTTTCTTGGGCAGTCCCAGGGATGGAGCTTCCCTGGGAATTCCTTCCCAAATTCTCCTTTCCCAGTTTGAACCCATTCCCTGTGTCTTGGGATCCCATCCCTGATCCCAAATCCCTCTCCAGCTCCCTTTTTAGGGACTGGGAGCAGCTCCAGGGTTTCTCTGGATCCTTTTCCCACTTTTCTTGGGCAGTCCCAGGGATGGAGCTTCCCTGGGAATTCCATTCCCACCCTTCCAGCCAGGAATCCCTTCCCAAAATCCCCTTTTCCAGGTTAAACCCATTCCCTGTGTCCTGGGATCCCATCCCTCATCCCAAATCCCTCTCCAGCTCTCCTGGAGCTCTCCAAGGTTTCCCTGGAGCTTCTCTTTTCCCACTTGGGCACTTCCAGGGATGGAGCCTCCCTGGGAATTCCAGCCCATTCCCTCCCAGCCAGGAATTCCTTCCCAAATTCCCCATTCCCAGTTTAAACCCATTCCCTGTGTCCTGGGATTCCATCCCTGATCCCAAATCCCTCTCCAGCTCTCCTGGAGCTCCTTTAGGGACAGGGAGCAGCTCTGAGGTTTCCCTGGAGCTTCTCCCACTTTCCTTGGACACTCCCAGGGATGGAGCAGCCACGGCTTCCCTGGGAATTCCATCCCATTCCCTTCCCAGCCAGGAATCCCTTCCCAAATCTCCCCGTTCCCAGTTGAGATCCTGCCTAATCCATGGATTTCCCTTCCCAGTCGGACATGCAGAGCTGGGAGGAGCAGAGCCAGGGAGCCATTTACACCGTGGAATACGCCTGCAGGTACTGGAATTCCCGGAATTCCGGGCTGGAAACACAGCAGGATCCAGGAGCTTTGATCAGCGGTAATTTTCACTTTGAGGGTGGAATTCCTGGAATTCCCGGCTGGAAAACACAGCAGGATCCAGGGAATGAGCTGGGATTTGGGATGAGCTTTGAGCTCTTAGCAGGAATTATCATTTGAGGGTGGAATTCCCGGAATTCCGGGCTGGAAACACAGCAGGATCCAGGGAACGAGCTGGGATTTGGGATGAGCTTTGAGCTCTTAGCAGGAATTATCATTTGAGGGTGGAATTCCTGAAATTCTGAGCTGGAAAACACAGCAGGATCCAGGGAACGAGCTGGGATTTGGGATGAGCTTTGAGCTCTTACCAGGAATTATCATTTGAGGGTGGAATTCCCGGAATTCCGGGCTGGAAACACAGCAGGATCCAGGGAACGAGCTGGGATTTGGGATGAGCTTTGAGCTCTTACCAGGAATTATCATTTGAGGGTGGAATTCCCGGAATTCTGAGCTGGAAAACACAGCAGGATCCAGGGAATGAGGGTGGGAAGACTTTGGGATTTGGGAGGAGCTTTGATCAGCGGTAATTTTCACTTTGAGGGTGGAATTCCTGGAATTCTGAGCTGGAAAACACAGCAGGATCCAGGGAATGAGCTGGGATTTGGGATGAGCTTTGAGCTCTTAGCAGGGTGAAATTCCTGGAATTCCAGGAGATCCAGGGAACGAGGATGGGAAAATCTGGGATTTGAGAATTAGCAGGAACCTCAGGGCTTTCAAATTGATTTTTTTTCCCCTAATTCCCACACCTCAAACATGAGATTTCCCGGGATTAGAGGGGAAACAAGCAGAATTTGGGAATTCCAGCCCCTCCACCTCCCACTTTTCCCACTTTTCCCACTTTTCCCACTTTTCCAGTGCCATCAAGAACATGACTGACAGCAGTGTTTACTTCAAGAGCATCGACAGCCTCCTCAAACATTCCATAGCCATGAAGGAGCAGCTCAACGCCGCCCAGGGCCGCAGGTATCCGGCAAAATCCCGGGAAAAGAATTCCAGGATTATCCAGGATATCATTCCCAGCTTTTTTCCCCATTCCCCTGGGGTGAAAAAAGCCAATTTTTTATGGAAAAGTGGGGGGGAAAAAAAAAAAAATCGAATTTTTAGGGAGGTTTGGTTGTGTTAAAGGGAGGGTTTGGAATTTTGGGATGCTGGGATTGGGAAGGGGCTGCTCTGATCCCAATTTTTTTGGGTAGAATTCCTAAGGAATTGGTAGCAGCTCCTGAAATATCCTGGAGAGGTTTGGGTGATCCTGGTGGATTTGAAGCTGTGGAATTTGCAGATTTATTTTTTATTTTTTGGATTTTTTTGAGGATTTTTTATTTATTTTTTTACTTTTTTTTCAGTTTTGAGGTTTTTTTTTTATTTTGGGGAATTTTTAATTTTTGGGGGAATTTTGGGGATTTTTTTGTGGGGGATATTTGGGATATTTTAGGATTAATTTTTAATTTTTTGAGGGATTTCTTTTATTTTTTGTGTTTTTTTGGGGGGATTTTTTAATTTTTAGCAATTTTTTTCTTTTTTTTTGAGGATTTTGAGGATTTTTCATGTGGAAATCTTTTTGGGTGATATTTCAGGATATTTTTTTCCTTTGGAATTGTTTTAGGGGGTCCTTTTGGGGGAATTTTTTGGAGGAGGGGGAATTAATTTTTTAATTCCTCAAGGGATTTTTTTGGGATTTATTTTGATTTTTTGGGATTTTCCACAATTAGCTTCACAAAAACCCCAAAATTCCCAAAATTTTCAGACAGCTGGATCTGACTTTTCCCATTTTTTTCCCACAGCACCATCACCCCCCAATCCAAAAATCCTCCAAGCACTTCCTGATTTTTTTTTTCCATCCTCAATTTCCCAGCCTTGGAAAGAAGCGGAAAAACCACAGGTAGAGAAAAAACCCTGGAATTCCCAGGAAAAAAAAAAAAAAAACCTGGAAAATCCCAAATCCTGCTTTTTGGGACCTTTTTTCTATGGGAAAAACCAAAAAAAAACTGGATGGTTTTGTGTTTATCCTCAAAAAAAAAAAACCCAAACTCTTGCTTTGGGAATTTTCCATAAAAATAAAAAACAAAACTGGAATGTGGGCACACTCCAAACTTTTGTTGAGGAGGAATTCTCCAAGGAGAAGCTTTTCCAGAGGGTGCCAAGGAATTTTTGGATTTGGTTTTAATGAGGACGAGAATAAAAAGGAGGAAAAAAAAAATCCAAAAAAAAAAAACTCAACAAGAAGAAGAAAAAATTTCCTTTGAAATGTTTTAAACTTTTCTCCTGTCGCCGTGGGAGCTGCTTTTGTTTTTTTCCCGAGGTCGTGGAGCAAAAAAAAATGTGGAATTTTGGGTTTTCAGAGGAGAAAAGGAATTGTGGCATTCCTTAAAATCCTAAAAAAAAAGATTTATTTTTAATTCCTTTGTCTCTTGGTTTTGGAGGTGACTGGAAAGAGGCAGAGCTTTGGTGTGTGGATCCCTCCTGGATCTGGGATTTTCCAGGGATGCAGGACTCGGAATTCCAGGGGAATTGGTCTTGGGATAACAACTGGATTTTGGGATAATAACAGTGACACCCCAAACTCCTTCTCTGTCACCCCAAATCTGATTTTTCTCACCCTAAATCTGCTTTTTTGCACCCTAAATCTGATTTTTCTCAACCCAAATCTGATTTTTCTCATCCCAAACCTCCTTTTTCCAACCCCAAATCTGATTTTCCCACCCCAAATCTGATTTTTCCCACCCCAAATCTGATTTTTCTCATCCCAAACCTCCTTTTTCCCACCCCAAATTGCTTTTTCCCACCTCAAATCCCCTTCCTGACACCCCAAATATGACTTTTCCCATCCCAAATCTGATTTTTCCCATTCCAAACCTCCTTTTTCCAACCCCAAATCTGATTTTTCCCACCCCAAATCTGATTTTTCCCACCCCAAATCTGATTTATCCCCCCCCAAATCTGATTTTTCCCACCCCAAATCTGATTTTTCCAACCCCAAATCTGATTTTTCCCATCCCAAATCTGATTTTTCCCACCCCAAATCTGATTTTTTTCACCCCAAATCTGATTTTTCCCACCCCAAATCTGATTTTTCCCATCCCAAACCTGTTTTTCCCACCCCAATCCTGATTTTCCCCACCCCAAAACCCCTCCTCGATCCCAGGGTCGTGCTGAGGATGAGGATGGAGCAGGGAGGAAGGAGAAGGGCGGGAAAATCAGCCGAAATCTGCCGGAAAAGGACGGAATTCTCGTGAAAAATTCCAATTTCCGCTTCTCATCCCCAATTTCCAGATCCTTTCCCACAGCTGGGATGGGCTGGGATGGATCTGGGGGACTCCAGGTGGGCAGCAGAGGGATTTTGGCTGTGGATAAAAGCCCAAAATCCTGATTTTTCCAGGGAAAAAACACCAAAAACATGGAAAAAAACCCAACTTCAACCGCGAATCCCGGGAAGCTCCTGGGAAAAAAATCCCGATTTTCCTTCACACCAGGGTGGAATCCTTGGTGGATTTGCGAGCCATGGCATTCCTCATCTCCCTCGTGATGACATTCCAAGGTTTTCCCTGCTCCTGGAGCAATCCCGAATCCGCCGAGAGCGTCCTGTGCGTGCGCGACAATTCCCGCTGGGATTCCCGCTGGAAATCCTTCTGGGATAATTCCCTCTGGGATGATTCCCTCTGGAATTCCCTCTTGGATTCCCTCTGGGATTCCCTCTGGGATTCCTTGCTCCTGGCGCCGCCAGCCGAGCTCAGGTTGCTGCTGGAGGCCGAGCCCGGCTGGGATTTGCGCTGCGGGAAAAGCGGGAAGGAGAATTCCCGGCGGATTTCCGCGGGAGCCGCGTTCCCGTCCTCCCCGGGCCGGGCGCAATCGTTCTCGTACAAGGATTGGGAAAGCTCCCAGCGGCTCCGCTGGGAAATTTGGGAAATGTGGGAAGCGCGGAGCAGCGCGTGGAGCACGGAGATGAGCAGGACGAGAATTCCGGAGGTCAGGATGCAGGCGCCGGCGATCCCGGCCTCCAGCTGGAACAGCAGCAGCATGAAAAGGGCCAGAGCTGCGGGAAAAACGGGATTTGGGAATTCTGGGAATGGCTGAGGATGGAAAAGAGCTCTGGGACATCCTGAGGAACCCGCCAGGAAAACGGGATTTGGGAATTCCGGGACATCCTGAGGAGCCACCAGAAAAACGGGATTTGGGAATTCCAGGAATGGCTGAGGATGGAAAAAAGCTCATGGACATCCTGAGGAACCACCAAGAAAATGGGATTCTGGGAATGCTGGGAATCTGGGAATGCTGGGAATGGCTGAGGATGGAAAAGAGCTCTGGGACATCCTGAGGAGCCACCGGGAAAACGGGATTTGGGAATTCCGGGACACCCTGAGGAACCACCGAGAAAATGGGATTTGGGAATTCCGGGAATGGCTGAGGATGGAAAAAAGCTCATGGACATCCTGAGGAACTGCTGGGAAAATGGGATTCGGGAATTCTGGGAATGGCTGAGGATGGAAAAGAGCTCTGGGACACCCTGAGGAACCGCCGGGAAAACGATTCGGGAATTCCAGGACATCCTGAGGAGCCACCAGGAAAACGGGATTTGGGAATTCCAGGAATGGCTGAGGATGGAAAAGAGCTCAGGAGCTGGCAGGAAAAAGGGATGGATTTGGGAATTCCGGGACATCCTGAGGAACTGCTGGGAAAACGGGATTTGGGAATTCTGGGAATGGCTGAGGATGGAAAAGAGCTCTGGGACATCCTGAGGAACCACTGGGAAAACGGGATTTGGGAATTCCAGGACATCCTGAGGAGCCCGCCAGGAAAACGGGATTCAGAAATTCCGGGAATGGCTGAGGATGGAAAAAAGCTCATGGACACCCTGAGGAACCACTGGGAATACTGGGAATCTGGGAATACTGGGGATACAGGAAATGCTGGGATTCTGGGATTCTGGGAATGCTGGGATTCTGGGAATACTGGGATTCTGGGAATGCTGGGATTCTGGGAATGCTGGGAATCTGGGAATGCTGGAAATGCTGGGATTCTGGGAATGCTGGGGATGCTGGGATTCTGGGAATGCTGGGGATCTGGGAATGCTGGGAATCTGGGAATGCTGGGATTCTGGGAATACTGGGAATGCTGGGATTCTGGGAATACTGGGATTCTGGGAATGCTGGGAATCTGGGAATACTGGGATTCTGGGAATGCTGGGATTCTGGGAATGCTGGTGGGACACGTGCCTGTGAGGTAGAGGCAGACCCCGCAGCAGAAGAGGCCGATGGCCGCGTGCCGGACGCTCCGGCTGTCCAGGAGGAACCAGTCTGCCCTGGAAAAGAGGGAAAAGAGGGAAAAGAGGGAAAACTGAGCCTCTGGAAAGGCTCCGAGCCCAGGGAAAAACATCTGGAATGAGGAGCTCCGGACTGATCCCAGTCCTGATCTGAACACGGGGAAAAAAGTGGAATTCAGGAATTCAAAATTGGATTTTGTCCTGATCCAAGCCCAAGGAAAAAAATCTGGAATTGAGAAACTCCAGACTGATCCTGGTCCTGATCCGAGCCCAGGAAAAAATGTGGAATTCAGGAATTCAAAATTGGATTTTGTCCTGATCCAAACCCAGGAAAAAATCTGGAATTCAGGAATTCAAAACTGGTTTTTGTCCTGATCCGAGCCCAGGAAAAATTTGGAATTAAGGAATTCAAAATTGGTTTTTGTCCTGATCCAAACCCAGGAAAAAATCTGGAATTGAGGAATTCAAAATTGGTTTTTGTCCTGATCTGAACACGGGGAAAAATGTGGAATTCAGGAATTCAAAATTGGTTTTTGTCCTGATCCGAGCCCAGGAAAAATTTGGAATTGAGGAACTCGATTTTTTTTTTGATTTTTGTCCCATTCCAAGCCCAGGAAAAATTGAGGAATTCAAATTTAATTCTTGTCCCTCTCCTTCCAAACTCAGGAAGAATTTCTGGAATTGAGGAATTCAGGATTGGTTCTTGTCCCTCTCCAGCTCGAGGTGACATCCCAAAGCTCCCCGTGGAGATTCCCAGGGAAAACAATTCCCAAAATCCTCCTAAAATTCAAATTATTCATTCAAAATATTGAAAATATTAAAATTCAAACTCTTTTAGCTCTGGGAATTGTTGGGAATGGAATTTTTCCTCTCTCATCCCCTCAAAATCCCCAAATTTCCTCTTCCATTTACACATTTACACCCCAAAATCCAAACCAGGAAAATCCACAATTCCCAAAGGGGGGGTGGAATTTTTTTTTTTTCCCAGCAAAAAAAATAAAGCCGAGTTTATTGTGAGAATTTAATTTAATTTTTTTTGCAGGGGGGGGCTGTTTTTAGGGAAATATTTTCTCTCTCCTCCGTTAATGAAGCGTTGGAAGAGGCCGAGGAGGCGCTGCTGGAATTTTTCCAGCCCGGTGCTGCGTGGGATTGATTGGATTCTCTAATTAAAGATAAAAAGTGGCTGTTGGAACATCGTCATTCCCTGGAAATGAGTTTTAATTCTGAAAGCTCCCAAAACTTGGTGAGGCTCCCCCCGCCATCACCTTTAAAATCCTTTAAAATCCTTTAAAATCCTTTAAAATTCTTTAAAATCCTTTAAAATTCTTTAAAATTCTTTAAAATCCTTTAAAATTCTTTAAAATCTGATTATTCCCGAGTTATTTTTTTTAATTCTGGCTCAGGAGCCCATCCCAGATCCATGAAAAAAAATAAATGGAATTTTTACAGGTGTAAAAAATTTTAATTCTGGCTCAGGAGCCCATCCCAGATCCATGAAAAAAACCAGACCCTTCCGAGCCCCCCCAGACCCCTCCGAGCCCCCCCAGACCCTTCTGAGCCCCTCCAG